GGCATTTTGGACGAGGCAAAGATTGGGAAGGAAAGGAGAGATGGAGTAAAAAAAACCCTGAGTTCTTTCGTGTCAATTTTCTGTAGATCTGGTGAACATATTCCTCCAGGTCAAAGCGTTTTCTGTTACAGCATCCTTCATCCCATTGCAGTCCATCTGGTACCCTTTGCGCAAAGAGGTAGCACGAGTGTGCCTTGTGCTACTAATAAGCCTAAGCGTAAAACTCAAGCTGGAAATAGTTCTTTCACAATCTTGTGTTTCAGGGAGTAGCTGCTGCACGGAGAAGAAATGCTCCTCTTCATCAGCACGGGGGCGCCTCGGGCGCAGCGGTGAGCAGAGTCGTGTTTGCTCTCTTGCCGCAAACGCGGCTTTGTTCCTTAATAAAGCGAAGCGCGCGCCCAGCACGCGCTCCTGCGGCTCGCTCGAGGCCGCGGCGCGCACCGCACGGGTTGCCGCCGCCGACCTTTCTTCCGTGTCTGGCGCCGGCTTCTTCAGCTTGGAAAGGTGCAGCTGGAACCCGTGCGCTGTATTTCAACCCGAGCTGGAAGCTGGCGCCGCCGGAGACAAACCCGGAGATCCCCTCTTCTGTCAGCGCTGCCGCTAGCAGCGCTTGTGGGCGGGAGCAGCTCTCTCTTCCCCTCGTCCCTCAAGAGGCGCCTCGGCGTTACCGTCTCTGCACTGCAGAGGCCGCCTCCCGGCGGGGAGCGCCCGCAAAGCGCCCCCCCTCGAGCCGTGCCTTTCCAACGAGCCATCCCGCCGCGTAAACACGCGCGCCTCGGCCGTCCCCCCCCCCCCCCGCTCGTTTCTCATCATCGCTCAGCCGGAGCGTTGCTGAATAATACACGCGAAGGGCCCGGCATTGCGTCACCAGCTGGGAGAGTGGAGCTGCACCTGCGGGGGCCGGGCGCAGCCTCCGGCTGCAGACGAGCCGTGCATGGTTGGGGTTTGGCTTCGGCCCGCAGGCACCCATGAGGCAGGACAGGCTGGCGAGCTCGCTGCGGCGAGGGGGCCGGTGCTTGAAGCGGCAAAGCACTGGCGGCGGCGGCGGGGGTGGCGTGGGCACCATCCTGAGCAACGTCCTGAAGAAGAGGAGCTGCATTTCCCGAACCGCGCCTCGCCTCCTCTGCACACTGGAGCCGGGTAAGGCTGCCTGGGCCCGGAGCGCCTTGGGGCGCGCCAGCGGCTTGGCTAGCCGGCCAGCCAGCCAGCGGACTGGCCCTGCTCTCCCGTTTTCCCGCCTTTGTTTGAAAGTGCAGCTGCTGCCTGGGCTGCTGGGGGCATGTGTCGCTTATCCGAATGCCTTTAGCTGGGATTAACCCGGGTAGGCTTTAATCCTATAAAGTGGTGGGGGAAGGGCTGGGAGCCTGCTTGGAAATGCCCAAGGCCTCCCCTTTGCTACGCTTCCAGGAGCTGCCCAGGGATGGCGGAGGCCGGGCGGAGATGAATTCCTTGGGTAGGAGACCTGTGCTCCGAGCGAACGTGCGTGCGTGTCTTGCGAGAGGCTTCCGCGGTGGCCCTGGGCAGGGGAGGGGCGGGGTTCTTGCGGTGCGGGCCCGGAGCGGCGCGCATCCCCCAGCAAATGGCTGCTGCTTTGCCTGGCTGTAGCAGAAAGGGAGCCTTCACCACCCTGGTAAGAGCTGCCCCTGCAGGCCGGACAGGAGCCTCTTCAGCTGCGCAGCTGACGCCTAGAAGATCGAGCCCAGCTTGCCTCTCTCCCCTGGCAGGGATCTCACACTGTAAGCTCTGAAAGAAATCTACATGATACCAGGATACCCTGTCTTTCAAAGGATAACTAAAATAGATTCTGTAGGTAGGGGAAATGGTTATGTGCAGATTATTAATTAACTCTTAATTTGCTTCTGTGCAGATTTGTCTTAATCAACTCCTCTTCACACATCAATTCCCTTTGCACTTGCTTCTGTGCCTGCTTTGCCCTGAAGCAGTTCTTAAGTTCTTACTTGGGTCTTTTTACTTTATTTGATACTGAATTTCTGTGACCTTTTCTGTCAGATCTCTGGGTCTTGTGGTAATTTAAAGATGATCCTATCTATTACGAGATAGGATTTAAAAGACTGTATGCTGTGTGTCCTCATAAATGTAATAGTCTTTAAAGTGCTGGAAATGCTCTGTTCTTTTAGATACTGTGCCTTGAGCACCCAGTGTCATCATTTCAGCACCTTGGGTTTGGACAGCAACACCCTCCTATATGGAAGAGGCCTTTGCAATAATGTATACTGCTTTTTTAATGCACAAATAATTTGCTTACAAATTGCTCCTCACATTTGGCCCACATAAAAACAAATGGCCCATTGTTCGTAAGACCAGTTCTACTAATCATATACTTAATGGAGGAAAAAAGCCTAAAAGATCCAAAACATAGTTTACCACTGATTGCTGCTGTTCCCTTGAGGCAGATTTTAATGAAGTATCTAGCTATTTCAGGCATGCACTTTTGACAAAAACTGTGTACAAAAAGAATCCTGTGGAAAAGTCAGAAGATGCTTAGATGAACATTTTAAATGAAGACTAGGTACTTTATTTATAGTATTTTAATGAATGTTACTTTTTAATTTCTGAGGTATCTTGAAACTTACTTCATTACAATTATGTTAGCTGTCTAAAAATTAACTAATGCTGTAATCCTATCTCCATTTTGAGAGTAAACCTCACTGAGCTCTGTAGGATGGCTGAGTATTTGGATGAGAATGTGTGCCTAAATAGCTACTTTGATAGTGTTGTTCTTTATGATAGTCTTTATGAAATATAGAACTTGGTTTCAAAAGTTGGCAACTGAATATTTTATATATGGGGTGTGTAGCACATATACATGCAGCCCATAGGAGGAAGGTTTTCTTTCTACTGAGTCCCAAGTCTCTGTGGCATGGCCCCCATCTCTGCTGTGTTTCCATATTCCCAATGATACTGTTGGTAGCATACAAGAGGTTTCTCAGCAGAATCACTGGAAATGCAGTCATGAAGACACTTCTTGTTGGACAGTTGTAATCACAGAGGAGTGTGCTCCTTAGAAATGTCAAGGAATCTGGTGCGGCTTCACAATATGCTGATGTTGCTCACCCGTGCTCTAGAAAAATAATTTAGAATTATATTTGCTACTAAGAATGCAGTTTGCATTCTGCAAGCATAGCTACGGCTCTGACCTCTGCTGTACAAATTTCTTCTCCAATGACAGGGCTGTTAACCTGTGAACACAGCAGTACAATATCCATTTGTTCTCTTGCATATGTGTCTTGTTTTTACATTCTACTGCAAGAGAAAATCTTTGGAAGATAGACTGGGTAGTAAAATTAATGCTAGTGTTTGTCAGAGAAAGAAGTCTGAATCAGTAGTAGAATTTCCAGACATTTATTTCCTAGGTGAGCAGTGACTGTACTTCTGTCTATAGCTTATTCCAGATTTATCATTATTTGCAAATTTGTTCCATTTGGTTTTTGTCATTGGCTAGAAATATTGGTCAATTGTGAGGTCTGGGTTACAGGATTCCACTATGGATAGAGGTTTACCAAGATTTGGGGCAAGTCAGGTTTCTCAGGAACACAGAAACAGAGCACCATGAAGAGCTCCAACTGGGTTCAGCCTAGAAGCCAGACAGCATTGTCAGTATGTTGCTTTGGCAAGCAGCACACTGAGACTGAGTAAGGGCTTTGCTTCTTTTAGGTTAGTTTGCCCAGACTTTTCTTCTAAAAGAGTCTGGTCTGCTTTAGCAGCCTCAAGCTGTAACGACACAAGGGTGACTGCTGCATGCTAGGATCCTTGTGGTTGGAGTCTAAAGATGTCAATACAACTTTTGCTGGACCCAGGGAGGCTGCTTCTTGGATGCTTCCTGGGGAACTGGGTCCTGAGGACATAGAAACCTTGTTACACTCTTTGTCACTCAAGTCCTTTCCTTGGACTGTTTCCTGATGAAAATATTTGAAGATGAAGGTCAGGGTCCTGCTCCACAACAAACTTCTATAAATTGACACCACTATTTACTGTTTTGTGAAAAACTAGAAATGTTTGAAAACTTATTTTGTAGTATTTGTTATGGTGTGCACATTTCTAGCACAAAAAATAATTGTGAATCATCCAGACAACCTTTCTGGCAGATGGATGGTATAAATTTAATAAATAAGTACGGTACAATACCTGTCATAGAGGCTAGACTATGGGAGGAGCTATAAAAAGTGCCTGGAAAGACAGTCCAAGCGACACTATGAATTAGAAACATTAAAAACATCTTTTGTGTAGTAATGAACAGTTATGATTGGGCTATATCCATTCTTCCCAGCTATGGTCCTCAACTCTAGTGCGGATGGACTTACAAAGCATGCAGAATAAAAATGGCTTACTTGTAAATATGAGGTTGTAGACATTTATATAATGTTTAGTTCTATCAAGAAAAGAAATATGTTGTATATTCTTGATTCACTAGGATTCCATCTTTCTCTGTACAGGCATGTACATGGCATGGATCTATCACATACAGTATAAAAGAGAACTGTTTTTCTGTTCCCCTGCCACCCTTGATATTTGAGCTCTGCCTGTGCAATAGGCTTTATTCAGAATGAATAGTATGTATGCTTTCCTTCACTGGCATCCTGCTTCCCCTTTGCTCAGGCAAGTCAATGAACTCTTAGGTGCATTGGAGCTGCAGACAGACCTCCCATCCCAGAATTGCCCCGATATACAGTGTGTTCATAACAGAGTTTGATGGAGAATAGGAAATGGTGCTTTATTGGAAGTCAGTGGATTTTCCTTCATATGCATTAATGGTATCCACAGTTATTTTTAAGCACTTTTAATTTGCTTTTTAAAGTCAGTGCTAACACAGGGTAATATTCAGACTTAGATATGAGCAATTGTATTATCCTTACACTTTAACTTTGATTTTTGGTATTCACATTGTAATGTTTACTCAGTGTTATGTTTCTTCGGTTCCTACATCAGTATTTTAGTAATTTTTTTCTGTGATTTTGTTTTTGTTTTTTTTTACTGCACAGGAGTTGACACAAAGCTGAAGTTTACACTTGAACCATCTTTAGGTCAAAATGGTTTTCAGCAGGTATATTATTTTTGTTATAAAAGGGAAAGAAGAATTCGAATGCATGAACAAATAATTCTTTAAAATCTGTATTGGCTTAGGAAGCAGGAATGATTTCTGTTACTCTGATGAGCTCATATTCATGTCATCTTTAGATGCCTTTGTTTCACTGGTATTTTAAACAGTTTTTTCCTCTGAAGCAGCTGATCATTCTGTATGGCAAAAAAGCAAAAAGCATGAAGTCAATTGCATTTTTTTGCCATTTGCTATTACATGAATGAATTATCTAGCAGCTGGTTATCCCTTTTCCTCTGTGTGTTCTGCATGGCTAATTGGATAATCCTTACCTTGTATTTAGATACTTTGTGGCAAAGTAGTATATGGTAAAAGACAAGTGCTTTTCTAAATGTGCATTGGAACTGAAATAATCTAACCTCTGGGTGATTGCTTTTAGTGGCATGATGCTCTCAAAGCAGTGGCTAGGCTGCCAACTGGAATACCAAAGGAGTGGAGAAGAAAAGTAGGTAGATCTGAACTTCTCACAAAATAGATGCTATGGATATCAATAAGTGTACTTTTGATATCAGACAAATATGCACTTTTCATAATATACACATTCTGCTGACTTTAGCAAAGAACATGGAAGAATTGCTTAAGGACCAGCTTCATATGAAGACTGTAGTGTAAAGATGAAAAAGTGACTATTACCCCATGTTAATAACCTTTGTAGTAGTTCTTATGCTTCATGTTAGGACAGACTATGGTCCACGGGATGGATCTGGCCTGCCATGCCCATTCATCCAGCCCGCGCTGCTGTCCCCCCGCCCACATGCGTGCTTGCCGCGCTGGCGGGAGGTGGCAGCTTGCTTGCTTGGAGATGGTTTTGGACTCATTGGGAGATCTCCCAGCGAGTTCAAAACCATCTCTGAGCGAGCAAGCCGCCACTGCCTGGCTCCCTGTGCACGCACCACTGCCTTGCAGTGCGGGCTGGAGGCAGTGGCTTGCTCGCTTAGAGATGGTTTTGGACTTGCTGGGAGATCTCTGAGCGATCCACCGCCGTGCCCAACTCCACCTCACACGCGCCCAACGACGCCTCACTGGCCGGCGCACCCAGGACCCCCCTCCTCACTGGCCCAAGTGTGTAGCCGCTGCCTTTCAACTGGCCCCCTGTTGAAAAAGTTTGAGGACCCCTGGTGTAGAGGTTGTTTACACTTCTGTGCATAGCATTTCTATGTAGGAAACACATGCAAAGTTTCTTATGGAGAAATGTAGAAGTGCTCCTGTGGATTTCATGCTCTTTTGGCAGAGGTGCCTTTCTTATAGGGAAATTTCTTTAAAAAATTGACATATAACCCTGAGAAAATTTAATAATATGTATCAGAGCAAGGGTGCTCCAAGTACCAAAACACTTAGGAACATGCAGGAGGCAATTTTTTCTTTTTTGGTCCTCCAAAATGTTCACAATATCTTCACAAACAGAGCTACTTTTCAGGCCTTCATATAATCTGCACAAGTGTTTGAAGGGAATTTCTAAGTGCATTCAATTGAACATGCTTAGAAGCCTCATTCAGACTGGGAACCCTGTATTAGAATGCATGAGCGACTGAAAAAGGAGACCACATATGGTGGTGTTGGATTTTTGATTCACATATAGGCTCCTTTCATGTATTTTGGGTGCTGTGGTTTTTATTTTGTTGTGTTTTATATTGCTTTTGATGTCATGAATTTATGATTTGCTTTGTATTTAAATTGTTCTTATGTTTGCTTAATATAAGCTGCTCAGACAACTTTGTCCTAGAGTGGCATACAAATATAATTAATATGTAAATAAATGGAGTGTGATATTGATTAATTATTTCTATGTATAACATTGTCATTAAAGAAGGGAAAAATAGGTTGCTTTTTATTTTTGGCATCTCTGAAGGTCTGGCTCACCTTGGCAGATCACTACTTGAGAAGTATAGCGATTGACTGGGATAAAACTATGCGTTTCACTTTCAATGACAGAAGTAACCCTGATGATGACTCCATGGGTATTCAGATTGTGAAGGTATTTCAATGCTTACTAATTTCTTGAGTAGATTATTAAATTAAATCATTATTCATTATTTTTTTATTCACATTTTTTATTAATCAACAGAGGCTGGATGCTGTAGTTGCATCCTGCTTCAGATCTTACATTGAGAAGGGGGTTGTATGAGATGACTTCCAGGATTCTTTCAGACTATGATTTTATCATATACTTACAATTTTTAATTGATGACTGACACCTAGTTAGACTGTATCAATCCCCTGGTTTTAAAAATAACTGCAATATAAATTGATATAAGCTCTGCACATATCAGGAAACATACTAAAAACATTTACTAAAAATATTTTTATTGAGGTTATGCCTATGGTTTTGTTCTCATTTGAAGTGAGTTGTGTCTGGGCTATACCACTTTAGGCTGCAGGTGGCTAATGTGATGGACTTGTCTAATATATTTATCACAGACATGTTAATTTTCTATTTTCAGAGATTGTGGGTAGGGAAAGATACTGAAGAGCATTTTATCATCCCATGCTGTAGGCTGAGGTGATGTTGCCTGTATATAGGACAGATAGACCAGAACAGGTTTTCTATTTAGTGAGAACACTGAAATAGTTTTATCGCAGAGATAATATTGTTCAGTATTCTGTATGAAAACACCATTCCCAGTTGGTAATTCTAAATTATGGATCTTATTTGTTCAGTCCCATGTTAAAAATTAATGCCGCTTCTGCTGTGTTATTTGCTCACTAATGGTTTATAGGCTCCAAAACAAGGTGTCTCCTGGGAAATAAAGTGTTGGGTTTGTTTCCTTCCCACACCCATTCCGTACTCTGAGGTCTAGTTCTCATCCACTACTTATCTAATCAGTATTTTAAAGTATCAGAGAAGTATGTCTGTGCTTTTCTCCTTGCCTTAACAAACATTTCAAAACTGGTGACAGACTACAGAGTTGCATATGGCAATGGGAATATTGGTCTATAACCAAAGTCTCCACTTGGTCTTGAAGCTCACAAAGTGATGTTGGGCCATTTGCTATCATTCAGTACCACCTACCTTGGCAGAAGGGAAAGAATAATTTTTCCTAGCTCCTTGCAGGAACGGAAGGATAAAAAATGTAACAAAGTAAAATGCATGGTATGATTCAGTAGCTTGGGCTTAGTCAGTAGATGAGAAACCCAACCGCCCTCCTCCTCATCCTATAGTCAATGCTAGGAACATAGGAATCTGACTTGAGTCAAATGGAGTCTGGGCACTGATCTTTCTAGCTCACAGACTGGCAGAAGCTCTCCATGGTTCAGCCAGGGGCTTTTTCTGTCTGAACTGGAGATGCTGGGATTCAGTCCTGAAGCTTCTTTGTGCAAAGTGGGTGCTCAGCTGCCAAGTTATTCCACTGGGTCTACCCTGAACCACAGGCAACACCAGATCACCCAAGCATAATGCAGGCTAGTAGTAAGCAGGTAAGGCTGGTTTTGCAGAACTTTTGGCAAGCCCCTACAAGGGCTAATTTCCAAAGGAGGGCTCATTTATTCTTCTTTGCCTAGACTGCTCTTTTCAGACTCCAGCTTTTTCCTGTAAAGAAGTCAGTTTAAGGGCCTAATACCCTGACTGGGAGCCTAGCATTCCACTTCCCTTCTGTAAGTTAATACCTACGTCTTTGCCTGTTCTAATTTGGATCCAAAACTGCTTTTAAGGTTTGAAAATCCAGTTGGATTGCCTTTTTGTTGTTTTTCTGTTTTTGTTAGAAAGGCAGGGTACAAATCAAATAGTATAGATGCTGGAAGATCCAGTTCTCTTACATAGCATCCAGCATGGCCTGAGGGATGAGCACGTAGTTAAATTACCATATTTCCGGGCAGTTCACTTGTCTGTCTTGAACATCAGCAGTGTCGAGCTGAGGTTATGTAATACATGCTTTGTGTGGTCCTATATAAGGAGACTGTGCTTTTCTGTTAAATGAATATTGCTTACCAGTTCCAAAATCATTGGATCCTAGAGTTGGTTGGATTAATTTCAAGCAACAGAATTTTAAATAGCAGCATTTAACAACCTTATGAAAAACCTACAACTATCCACTCTACTCACAATATTTTTTCTGTCCTACTTTCATAGACAACAGAAAGTTGTGTTTTATTGAGATAGACTGCCATTGTATGTTACCATTTACACTGCAAATTCAAACATTTATTATACAGCATGTGTTTTTAGGATTATTTGTTATGAAGAACCTTGCTTAGAATGTTAAAGATTACTGTTAAATAACTTGATGTTTGATTCAAGCTGGATGGAAAGCTCATTTTCTTGAGTCACACTGGCATTTTAATTTGTTCCTTAAATGTTAGTTAGAAACACCACCTTGGAATGCAGCTAGGTCTGTGGCCCCCATTCCAGTGTTAACTTGGGAAGTAGATCAAAATATAGCAGCTGGTTTCACATCCAGTACTATGACAGTATTAACATCCAGTATTAACTGCTAACAATAGAAGTGAGTCCAAAACCAACTCTCTAATCTTCCATGAAGAAAGAATCTTAAATGAAGAATCTTATTTTACTATCACAGTATATTGATTAGTTGAAATTTCTTTTTGTATTTCTTATTCTTTTTGCAACATTGAGCATGCCAGTGCAAAGGTGAAATGCAAATGTAGTAAAATATTTCATGTTAGAATGTAATATTCCACACAAAGTCAATTTACCTCATGAATGAAACATGAGTGAAATGGCAATATACTGGTATTTAATGGAAAGTGGAAGACATAAAGGAGTCATACACTGGCACTTCATCCCTTTTCTTTTAATTTCTTTAGGATCTTCATCGAACTGGATGCAGCTCTTACTGTGGCCAGGAGGCAGAGCAAGACAGAGTAGTTTTAAAACGGGTTTTACTGGCTTATGCTAGATGGAACAAATCTGTAGGATATTGTCAAGGCTTTAACATCCTAGCTGCTCTCATCCTGGAAGTAGTAGAAGGCAATGAGGGAGATGCTTTAAAAGTGAGTACAGATATTGAGCATGTTTTTAGCTGCATTTAGTCTTGCTGTTTATTAAAATAGTTTAGGGGAAAATAGCCCCCAGAAGGCTAAAAGATGTATCATTTTTCTATATAAGAATGACAATTTCTGTGTTGAAGATGAGTCACTCGAGCCATTCACTCATGGCTCTTTCTGTACAGGAGCAAATGAATATAAAATTAAATGCTTAATTTATACAAGTAGAAAGATGCTTGGGAAATCATTTGTCCTCAGCCCTATGAATTCTATATGACACTAACTGCCAACATTTTCTGCTTTGTTTTTAGATTATGATTTATTTAATTGATAAAGTGCTTCCTGATAGCTATTTTGTCAATAACCTTCGAGCGTTGTCTGTTGACATGGCTGTGTTCCGAGAACTTCTCAGAATGAAACTTCCTGAGCTCTCTCAGCATTTGGATACTCTTCAAAAAGCAGCCAACAGAGAAAGTGGAGGTATTCTTCCACACAAACTCAATGCAATCATTTTCTTCATTTTTTGTTTTGTTCCTATAAAAAAGCTACAAAATGTATTTCTTTGCCTGGAGATCAAATAATATTTAGAAAGCTTCAGATCTGAACACTACAACTATTAGCATAATTTAAAGCTAGCAGATATTTCAGGTAAATTGAATGTACGAGTAAAAGAATCTCTAAAGACTCATAAGCAATAAGGCTGGCAATGTCAGGAATTCTGGTTGAGCCATATTTTCTTTCTCATATACTCAAGCTTTCCTGAATAGTCCCTGCCAGTCTATTCTCACCTATTCACCTATTCTTTTCATCCACACACACTCCAGGTGTGTGTGCATATGCACACACATGCATCTGGCAAATGTATTCAAGAAACCCGATCTCGATGACAAGAACTTACTACTATTCCAATTGGGGGAAATGACAATTCTTTTTGTAATTCATATTTTTGTTGAATTTTGGTTTTATTTCATATTAATTTAAACTAAAGTTAATATGCTAGCAATTAAATTAATATAAAGAAACATAGCAACAGAAAAATTAAAAGGAAAACAAAAGGTTGATAGTATAGGAGGAGAGCTGGACAGTGTTCATAAGTTTTATTTTCAATTTTGGGGTTTTCATGAACAAAATAGGTTTCTATTTAGCTAAGTATAACATTTGGTATAGGGTTATCATATATCTTAATAAGAACTTCATTTTACAAATACTATATGTAGTTTCTTTTTCTAAGGTTGTGAAACAAAAAGTTTGGTGATTGATGTGGTATGACTAATTTCTCCTGGGCTAAGTTCTAAATAGGGAAGTATCCTATAAGTGCTGCTTTGTTGAATTCAGATCTGTTTCTGGGACCATGGTGTAGATAATAGAAAAACAGGACAATGCTGTGTGCATTAAGGACAGGACAATGGACAATGAACAGGACAATGCTGTGTGCATTAAGTAACCTTCTATATCAGTACAACACCAACAATGTGGGGAGGACAATTATCTTTATTAAATAATGGTAAAGAGAACCAATATTTCTTCCATGGACAAGTTCTCACATCTAGAGCTGAAGTTTTAATTAAGAGACCATAGTACTTTACTGGGTTGGAAAAATTCAGCAGTCTAGTTTTCCGCTTCATTCTGTACACTAATGTGCAGAATTATTTTAATAATAGTTAATATGCTTCATTATATATTAATACATAATGTTATATAATAGATATGTTACTAGTATTATGCATTTTCTATATCTTATGCAAAAACTATTTTAATTTATTTTATCCTTGTTTCTATTATGGTGTGGTTTGGTTTCATTATTCTAAAATACACTAAAAAATAAATTTAAAAATGGAAGGCAACAGATGTAAAGGATTAGGAATGACATGGTAGGTCCCAGGAAGATATGCTATATTTCCATATTTTATGTGGCAGCTTACTTAGCACAATACGTTAACTTTTCTGTAAGAAGAGGTTAGTAGGAAAGAAGCCCTTTTGTTATCTACTGTTAAAATATATTGAACATCGTTATTGAAGGAGGGTCTGAAAACATTTTAAATATAGACCTAACTGCATTTTGGCTTCCATACCTCATCAAGACTGTCAGGCCAGGATTTAGGAGAGAGCCTCATCGCTGTGTGCTTTTAGAGTCTAGTTTTAGTCTTGCAATCTACAATCAACAGAGCAATTGTATGCATGCCTGTTCAGAAGTCAGTTGTCTCAGGCAAGAGTGTACAGGACTGAACATTAAGAGTGGCAATGGCAGAAGAAAAAGGAAGGAGAAGGACAAGAGCAATAGGATGATTCTGCTAATAAAATCAGAATTTCAGTTCATGATGTCTTCAGAAGAGATGTATGGGAAAATCCCTCCAGATTTGACACTGGTAGAAACTGAGCAGTGCTGTGCTGTAGAAGAAAGTGGCCAGCATATTAGCCTCTTCTTTTAGCCCCCCATTTGATAGCAAATTGAAAACAGAATACAATGGAATCATCCAATGCTACATTTCTATATTCCTTTCCTTCCCCTACACACACTTCTATCTGTTGTATGAAGAGAAAAATACCTGCAGGTGACACCTGTGTAATATGTTCTTTTTTTCTATTTCAGGTGGTTATGAACCCCCACTTACAAATGTCTTCACTATGCAGTGGTTCCTGACACTATTTGCAACATGCCTTCCTAACCATACCGTTCTAAAAATTTGGGATTCTATATTCTTTGAAGGATCAGAAATTATACTCAGAGTAGCGCTGGCTATATGGGCAAAACTAGGAGAGTAAGTATACTTTTAGGCTGTGCCTAACAGGAAACCAAATGTAAGAATTCTTTGGACAGAGCACTGTATGAAGTTGTACTGAGGCACTGGAAATAATATCCATCCACTTTCCCTTTTATGACTCTCTGCTGCTAAAGCACAAGTTACTTTTTCTTGTCCATCCTACCAGACCAGTACAATGCCCCTTCTGGGCACTGTAGGTTGCTTACCGTACAGTTGGTAGGGGAAGACAGTAGCAGCTGAGATTGACTCTTTGCTTCAAGTTGAATTACCAAGGATTGAAAGAAATGAACTTCAGTTTGTACAATCATTTGCCAGACTATCTCTGGGTAGAACAACAAGCACGGGCTAATTATGAGTTAAATAAACCAAAAGAATGCATGATGTGTGCACCAGGTCAATGTCTAGGACCCTGGGAACCAGATCAAGAAGGCAGACCTATGCTAAGAATTAAGGATCGGGGTGCCTCTGAACCAATACATGTTGAGCCCAGGAATTTGGAATCAGTGCTGGAAACAAGCACACAGGTTCTTTCATATAAAAACCTATTCTTGGTTTTTCTTCAAGTACGTATCATTTTCCAGAAATCTAATTTAGAAAGGAAATATTGGTTATAAGTAAACAGCTGTGTATCAGAAACATTAGCTGACACACTGCAAATTGTTGAAAGAACTATTAGTAAATCTGAACTAACTTCTTCCCACTCCTGGCACATAAGATTAATGTGGTAGTTTCATATTGCAATTGTGACTGATGTGAAGAACGCTTCTTTCACATGTTACGGGTTTCAGTTGCACATCACCCATCACCCTGACCATAGGCCATGCTGGGGGCTGATGGAAGTTGGAATCAAGGATCATCTGGAGGGCCAGAGGTTGCTCACCTTTCCACTCAGAGGAAAACCATAGTATTTCATGAATTTGCAACCCTTAATGAAAGCCTGAGAAACATTCAGCTAAATAAAGACACTCTGTTTTCAAAAGAATATTAAAAATGTGTATTCATTTTGGTATTAGTACTGATAAATATAGAGGCTGTCAAAACAACTGATTTGCCAAGAATAATTTCTGTCTTTTATGAAGAATATGAATTAGTTTTCATAAACAGAAAACCAGTTACTGTGTTTAGATTTATGCTTTTCAAAGTAAGTAAATACATAAGGGATACTTTGAATAGTGCTATTTATTCTGCCAGTTAGTTGCACACAAAACAAAAGACACACTCGTCATGGAATTAACTAGTTTTCACCATTACCTTCAAGGGTAATTGTAAGCAGAGGCCTGTTTTCAGCTTGTTCAGCTGGAAAAATACTTTGTCGGATTCTATAACTGTTCTGTTCTTTTCTTCTGACACCCACATTCTTTTCCTTTCCCCTGATGGAACTTTGCATGCAAAAATTGTTCCAGAATTAAGACAAAAGGCTAATGATGTTCTGCTTTCAAAGGATAAAAACACTAATAATGATTTAACATTAATGTCATAGTCAATGTTACCGGATTGGTTTAATATTTTGTAGTCTTTAAAATAAAATTTAGTTGCAAGTCAGTATTTTTCTAACTTAGAGGAACCAGTTAGAATACAATCTTGCTCAGGAAAACCTGGTTTAAATTGGAAACTTGATTTCACATTTCTTTATTTTTCTTTTTTATTTAAATATTTCTGATTGACACCTATCTGTCCTCCCAGCATAAATGTTAGGCATTCATGATACAATCTGAATTTTTAAAATTCATAAAATCAAGCCAGAGGAGAACCTTTTGGCTTGAGTCCGGAGTTGTCCTTCTCAATCAAGGGGCTTCTTCCTTTTTGCACAAGGGTTCACAATTGAGCTAACAGAAGAATGGGAAGGATTTTTTCTGAATTCCTCCCGCTGAATCCTCCCATCTCATTTCCCACACTGTTGTGGAGAATCCCCAGCCTTTCAGAACAGATTTGAGATATATAGGGGTAGTGGGGTGGGGGTGGAGAGGAATCCACAAAAATGACTCCCCCTTCTGTGATTTTCATTCAGAAGATTAAAAAAACTCCTGTATTATGGCATTAGACATCAAAAAGATACCATTCCAGGCCTGAAACCTGAATTATCAATATGTTTTTCATAACAGGATATAATCTTTCAGCTGTTCTACCTGTTTTTAAAAAAATGACTCCAGCCATTGAGCCACATAGAGAGCCCAGATACGGGCTCCTGTAGCAGCATACAAATAGAAATCAATCAATTAATTGGGGCATTCTTTCCAAAGCTAAGAAAAAAATGAGATTGGGAAGTATAATGATGAGTATTATGGTTGTTCTAGAGAATCAAAAGAACGGGTTTGATGGGTTGTTTTTTTTTTTTAGCAAATCAGGTGTTATCCAAACATGAATAATAAAGAAAAAAAGCTGGTCTCAGTAGATTGGAGCTATTGAAATATTTGAAAATGTAAACTCAAACATAGGGTGTACAGTGGAGATAGCAGTCCAGCTTTTTCCTTAAATGGGATGGTTAATATTCTTTCCTTTTGAAGAAAGTTTTGGGGATCCATCTACTTGTATACTACTTGATAACAAATGGTTCCCTTGTGGATGGAGAGATTAAACATAATTCTATGAAGAGTTGCTGGGTTCCTGAAGTAAGGAAAACATTTAACAGAAGTGGGATTAATCTTTTTTCCTTTTTTCACTTAAGGTTTAAGTCTTATCAAACATTTCATTTTCATCATAGTTCACAGTACATGAGCTACAGCTGATCTCTAACATTAACACAGACAGACTGAAAGTAAAAGACCTAAAGGAAATGCATTGTTGGCAACTTATTCTCTTGGAAATTGTGTAACATGGTGCTGAAACATGGATCAGTACAGATTACTGTCTAATCTTCTCTGAGTACACCTATTTGCAATGCCAGCGCTTCATAGAGCTGAACTGTTTACCTAGTCTAGGAAGCAAAACTCTATATAATCTGCTGTAAAATTACTCAGGTATAAATATGTTGTTCAGATAATGGAAATATCTGTGTTGTAATTCAGGCAGATAGACTGTTGTGAAACTGCAGATGAATTCTATGGCACCATGGGAAAGTTAACTCAGGAGATGCTTGAAGACAACCTCATTGATAGCAATGAACTCATGCAGGTTAGTAAGCATTGATGAAATGAAGGTGGAACGAGGGCAGAATAATCAGTTGGACATGGTGGATTTTTTTCAAGGTCTGTTATTTTCAGAGGGGCTATAGTTCAGTGGTAGAACACATATTATGGATATAAATGGCCCCTTGACATCTCTATATTGGAGAAAGACTCCTGACTGAAACCAGGTAAAGCTGCTTCTAGTCCATTTAGACAGGCTTGCTTAACCTGTTGCTCTCTTGATATGTTAGAATGTAACATATTCCCAACCAGCATGGACAATGGTTGGAGTCCAACACATCTGGAAGACTCCAGGTTGGGGAAGGATAGTCTAGAGTAAACTGAATTACATTGACCAGTTGTTGACTTAATAAAATACTGGTTCCTATTTTCAAAAGGACACTTTAATAGATGTTCTCAAGTGATATTCCAAACCTCACTGAAGCACAGTGTTATATAATTTGTTTTTATACATTTTGTTTTCAGTTCAACTTTGGTGGAAACATTAAAGACAGAGAATACACTTTATGAATAATGTAAAGCTTTGCTACTTTTAAAATAAAATGTAGTGTTTCCTTGCATAGTTTTTGAAATATGCTTTTATAATACCTCAGATTTCAGTAAGTATAGTGAAAAGGATGTGATGAATTTTGGTTTCAAACTGCTTCCTACTCTGCTATGAATTACATTTCACGAATTAATTCGGTACGTGATTTCAGGACAAGGACTGAGTTAAGAAAACAATGGCTATTGTGTTGTCTGAATCCAACTTTGCTAACAAAGCATGGCTTGTTAACCACAGTCTACAGTTCACAGTCCACCAATAAAACATTGGCTCTCTTCACCAGCAATTGGCAGTTCCATGACCCATACTCAACACTTGAATGTAGGTGGTTATGTTCTCTGATCCCAGATGTGGCATTTGATGCAATAAATCTGGTCCAACTCAGCTAAGTTAGAGATCCACAAAGGTATGGCAAACATCCCACAGTGCATTCCTGTTAGTGCTATTAACGTTATACTAATAGAAGCCAATAATTGCATCAGTAGCACTTGCTAACCCAACGGTTTTCCCTAGAAGCCAGTCCTATTTGCGCACATGGTTGACACTGCAACCTTAGGCTTCGACTAGCACAGTGTCAATAGCGATAGCAGGAACGCACTGCTGGATCATGGAGAGGCTGTAGTTTAATGGCAGAACACATACTTTGTTGCAGGTGTAATTCTTGGAGAAACCATGGGAATCTGCTAGTTCATATCAACAATCCTTTCCCAGAAGGACTAGTTCTTTGATGTAGGAGAAGGCACTTTCTTACATTCCTGTGTTATTTCTCCAAGATTCCTAAAACCCATTTGCAGTATATAACAGTTTGCCTCAGCTGTTAATTGAAACCTGTATGTCAAACTAACTGCAGCCAGCCAGCCAGGTATAAAAAATTAATAAACATCCTGTTTTTACTGCCTGCTTAGAATTGCAAAGACAGGAAACATTAAGCTTCTAGTAGGATTCTGTCTATGGTTGGCAGGCTATGTTTCACTTGGCAGGTCACAAGTGCTGACAAATTGTAGCAAATAAAAGGGAAAAGATTATGCTATAAGTATTTGTAATTTTATTTATTCTATTTCTATATTAATAATTTCATTCTATATCACCCAGTAGTGAAAGTTTGCTGTTCACCTTGTCGATTTCTTTACATTAAGGGTCAATTTATGTTAGGCCACTTTCTAATTTTATTTTACAGAATTGAAGATGTTCTGGAAGGTATAGTGATCAAACATATTCTAGAATATTAGCTATGATAGTGTATTCTAGCCAGAAAGAGAGAGAGAGAGGTCATTTAAAAAATAATATTGATGTCTGGAAATTGGCAACATATGGGGGGAAAAGTTAGTGGCATTGTAACAGTTTCACTGATGAAACAGATTTTGTGTAGAGCAGATTGCTCTTGACTTAAAGAGTATAAATTATTTCCAGGTTCTCCCAGAGTTGTTCTCTCTGGAGAAAAGATTGTAGTATCTAGCAATGAAGTGATCAAGAAAGTGACCAAACTCCATTAAGGAAGAGGAAATGTGGGGCTGCATATAGTTTTGCCTGCACTTCTCAATGTAGCAGTCTTGCACAGCAACATTACTTAGTCCCCCACCTTTTTTGGCTCATGATTTTAGATGTTCCAATGCACAAAATGGAAAAGACTTTTATGTTTTAAGCGTTTTAGTGTACGTTCGTAACTGATGCAAGCATAAAGAAATCTTCTCTCTGAAAGGGCTTAGCATGTAATTGCTTGTACTATAATGTCAGGGCAAAGTGAGCTTTCCCCTTTCTTCAAGTTAAGAAGTATAATATTGGTTTCTTTGGCAGCTTTTGTGGACTGAGTACAGGCCAAGCACGTACGCCACCACTTAATTATTCAGAAATGTATCCTAATTGAGAGACTTTTGCCTGCATTAATGCCCGTAGAAAATACATCTGGCATCAGTTTTCGTTTAGCAAAGCGAATGTTTTTCATTATTTATGTCCTTTGTTCATTTTTTTCTGGTTTTAGAGCATGGAAGCAATAAAAACAAAAGTCTCACCATCTGCTAGTTCATAACTTCAGTTTATGGCTACTTTGTTGTTTCTTAAAGTAGCAGGAGTAACAAAACAGGAGCTATATTTGGGAAATATAAGAACTTGTTCATTCCCACCCCCTCCCTGCCAAGGAAGTAGTTTTGAATTTTAGGCCAGGGTACTAAGCCCACCGTATTCTGAATTGCCTTACTAGTGTTTAAGCACTGGTTAGTAGAAGCATTTTACTTACTTTTAGGTATCTTCTGTGTGGTCACAAAACATCTGTATTCCAGCCAGCCCCATTTGACATACAGCATGGTTTTTAAAAGTCAGCGTTTAAATATGACTGCAAATGTTAGTAAACAGCCATGAAAGTAATATTTTTGTGAGACTGTTTATGGTTCAATAAAACAAATCTCTCTTTATGGAGCCTTGATATTGGAAGTTAACACTTCATGCATCTGATGAAGGAGACATTGTCTGTGAAAGCTTATACTGAAATACCTTGGTTTAGCTGTTAAGGTACTACAGTGCTCTTTATTGTTTTTGCTGCAACAAATTCACATAGTCTGGAAATTGTTGGTTTTGGTTCAGTCATTAATAGGGATTTCCCTTCATAGAATTGTCAGAAGAATTAGGACACCTGATAAGCACGTCCATGAACAGAAGTTTGGGTTATCAGGTTTACTCTCTGTATGAATAATTCTTTTATTTATTTATTAAAAATTAAAATATAATTCTTATATTCAAGCACATTTATATTCCCAGGGAATAATTCAGACATCTTTGAGTGCAGAACTAAGTCTCTGCCTCTTAGCTAATTATTGAAAACAAGATCAATTGAGCTTAGACCCACTGAAATGAATAGGACTTGTATCCCTAAGTAGAACTAGCATTAAATTAAAGCCCTGGATTTGGCTTTGGACTTTAATCCATAGAATTCTAAATATACAAGCAGATACATTCCTTGTATTAACCAAATTAATATTTTAGAAAGATTGTCTGTCTCTTATGTTTATATGCCATGTAATCTCAGGAGGAATACATTCTGTTAATTTAATGTTAAAATTGCTGGTCAGATAAATGCTCCTGAGTGCCCACATGATAGCTTTGTGATTGTGCCAACTGATAAACAGATATTTTCATACTTAAAAGATAATATGGAGTGTACTCAGTGGCAGGGGTGAGTAACTTCAGTAGATCTGGGGGGCATTTCTGACCCCAATTCCTCCTAAGGCTTGTAGCATACCACCTTGTATGCTTTTTTATGTTTAAGGTTTCCAGTGCAGATTCAGAGCACCAAATACTAATTGTGAACTTTAAGGTGCTGAGCAGTAGCTATGGAACACTATGAGGATTTTTAAAAAGTCAAACTGGCTACTCCAGACCATTTAATAAGTATTTTTATACTTTTTGAGGGTCTTTGGTGTTGTATGCACTTTGCAGAGCTTTGTATTGGGTAGTATAGAAATCACTTGTTACTCATACCTGTTCAAATACGTAGAACAGTTAAACTGATGACAATGGTAAATGCAAAAGTCTTGTGAATGTTTAGATTTGTAAGGGAAATCCAAAAAGGGTTCTGGGCAAGAAGGGTGGTTTAAAAATAATTTTACAAGGCCCTGCTTGATCTACAGGTTTCAGCAATAGGAGCTTCATTTTCTTTTGCAAAATAGTTATTGGAAAGTGTTTCCCTAGATAAAATAAATTGTATTAGAACATAGTCAGTTTATTTTATAATATGATTTAAAAAAAAGCTAAATCAAATTGTTCAGGAATTTTAATTATTCAGGAGTAAAGACAAACATATTTCAGGTAGCAGAAGTGGTTTGTGCACACACATTCTTTGCCTTGAAAACAAATGTCTTGGAAATCAAGGAATGTGTACTCACACTAGCTTCACACTTTTCAGCTTAACACTTGTTACCTGTCCGTCTGTTTCAATGGTTGACTAATTGTGTTTCCAGTGATTCATACTTTGCTTGTATTTCAGGCAAATATCCAGTGCATCATAAAAAATAAAATCTTACACATTTCCTTTCATTATATGTGATAATGCTTTGTCTTATCTTGAAACCCAATTTTCATTTGCGTTTGCCATGAAGAAATCTCTTTAAAGGCACTGTTTTAAAATCTGCTTTCCTCTTTCTTTCCTTTCTCCCCACAGACTGTTTATTCTATGGCCCAGTTCCCTTTCCCACAACTAGCAGAATTAAGGGAAAAATATACATACAACATTACTCCTTTCCCTGCCTCAGTGAAATCAACTTCAGGGTAAGTTTTCCTCCTCCCCCAGCTCCTTATCGTCTAAACCATATAATAGAGTAGGCATGTATACACTGAAGAGACAAACAGAAAGTATTTTATATGAACTCACACAGCCAAGAAATCAACATATCTTGTTTGTTCTTCTTTTACAGCCGTCTGGGAAAAATTAGAGACAGCGATGAAGAGAACGACCTTGATGATGAAGATTCCATAGCTAATGTCATCGGTTGCCTTGGACCATTCACTGGGTTTCTGGCTCCAGAACTACAGAAATATCAAAAACAGTTCAAAGGTAAATGTCAGTACCTCTTAAACATTCCAGGAGTGCCGTGGGAGCTGCTTTACAATGAGCTCATTTCAAATAATTGCTGCAGTGCTTAAAGACTCCCAAATATGTGATTTGGGTCCCTAGTGTGAAATTTTGGCACCTGATCCTGGCTGAGCTGAAGCAATAGTGTAATCAAGTACTGTACTGCTATGTCCCATTAAAAAGTTGTATTGGGGTGTTTATAATGATTGATTGATTATATTTCTATACCATCCAATAGCCAAGTTCTCTGGGTAGATCCCAACAATTAAACCCATAAAACGCAACAAGCTATAAATGCTTGAAACTACACTACAAAATAGAAGTAAAACCCAGCAGCAAAGCAAAGATTTAAAATGCCATCATATAGCAATCTTACGGCCTTTGCCCAGTGTCTGGAGGGCCATAGAATCAGTCAGATCCCCACCTCAAAGCTAGGAAACAGCTCCAACCTCAGACCTGCAGCTCCATGCCCTCACTGCTCCCCTTGCAGCCACATCAGCTGCATATCTGAGGTCACGAGACCAACCTCAGAGAAGGAGCTGAGTGGGCATCATGGGCGTTATGATATATTTTGGTGGTGCATTGGCCTTCTTCCCTCTTCCTCCAGACTTCCACAATGAGATAGCCACAATTGATCATGCAGCTTCTTTGCAAAGCAGGATGAGCTAAGATGTGACTTTGTGAACTCCAAGTGTTATAAAATAGATAAAATAGAACTTACATAGCTCTATTTTATCCTCAAAAGAACCACCCTGTAAGGTAGGGTAGACTGAGAGTGAGTGAGCGGTTCAGTCACCCAGTGCTCATCATGACCAAGTGTGGGCTAGAACCCAGAATACTAAACACCACACTAAACTGACTCTCAATACCAGTAATCCTCCAAAATCAAAGGATTACAGGCAACCTCATAGGATGGCAGTATGAAGGATTTAACATGACAGAAATGGACAGATTTAAATGCCTGGAAAAATAGGAAACAGCACAACATAGGCTCTCTGGAGAACTCTAGTACAAATAGTTCATACAGTAGACTTTTTATCAGTGTTAGAGTGTGATCATGGGGTATTAGGCTTCCCATGTCTAATAAAAGATACCCATGACTGATGGTAATGTGGCAAAGAGCTGTTCATTCCTTCCTTAGCAGGTCCCCTTTCACCCTGGTGCCTTGTTGAAGAGCTCAGTTGCTACATAATCTGAAATTCACATTAAGCTTAATATATGGTAATTGTATAGTTCATTTTAAGTACAGATCAATACAGTTTTCATATTTATGACTTTTAGTCCTTTTGCTACAGATCTTTTAACATTTCAAATTCAATAGCCATTTAATTGCAAGCATGAGTAGTACCAGGATATCGAAATCAACTGCTCTTTTAAGTGTTACCCAAGAGAGAATTCAGCATCACAGCAGTGCATTCTGATGCATATTTCCCATACTTTTCCTGGATATAGATCATAATGAAGAGCAGAGTCTGGGCTCCAGTAACATTGCAGAGCTAAGCCCTGGAGCAATAGATGCATGTCGAAGTGAATACCATGCAGTTTTCAACAGTATGATGATGGAGCGAATGACCACAGACATTAATGCATTGAAAAGACAGTACTCCCGGATAAAGAAGAAGCAGCAGCAGCAAGTTCATCAGGTTTACATCAAAGCAGGTGAGAGCTTCTTTTGTTTCAAGGTGGGGAAATGTGTGCAAGTCATCTTCACAATATAAATGGATAAGCACATCATGTTTGTGTGTATTCGCTCTTATATCAAGGAACAAAGAAGAAGCAAATGAATATGCCGGACTAGCTAGAATAATTTAATTTGACAAAAAAAACATGTTATCTACAAAAGCAATGGTGATCTTTGTTTCTTTTGTCAGGAGCTGAAGATGACAACCCTGGGATAATGTTAGATCCTAGGGACCAGCTGAATAATGGTATTTAAAGATATGTATGCTAACTTGGGTATACAACATTGGTTTCATTGATTTTACTAATTTCTATGGCATCCTTGGATTTAGGAGAAAACCTTCTAAATTATCTAGTCAGTGTTTTGGCATCTGAACTATAAAGAAATTATAAGATTATGCTTAATGAGCACTAAAACAACTTTGGTATAAATCCAGCTATACAGATATTGTACAGTGCTGGCAACAATTTATTAGTGGAATGAGCAATAGAGAGACTGCTGTTAGAGATGGGCCTTGCTTACAGTGGTGCAGAAATAGGGAAGATCTTAACATCACATCTGACATTCAGTATGTAATACAATTTTAAAATCTGGAAAATTCAGCATGTTACCAGTCATACTGCCAAAACCAAATAAAGAAGTTTTTCATTTCCCAGGATTGCCAGAATACCTTCTCACTAATCTTAACTAGTTGTATCTAAACCTCTGATCTCTGACTATTTTGTCACTGGGTGCTCCACTGGGGAGTGGTCTTATCTTGGCTGGCATGATGAATGTTCACTGTATCAGATAGAATCTTTACCCAGCTCTTTGATTATGGAAAGCCTAGTGCAGTTGATTGTTGGAAATGCAGACACTTAAGTAACCATAAGAAACACTGATTCATTCCATCCCAGATGTCCCCTAAAATGAATTAAATCAACATGCAATTTTAAATATTTGTCTATAAATTAATGTATCATTGTATATGTAATTTTGTATTATTACTTTACCTGCTTTAATCATTGTGAGTAATTCACAACAATCATCACTGACCTGAACAGAAAACATTGATTTCTTTGGAATTACTTCTTCATTTGTTTTATTTGTTTTATATGGAAATAGTCTTGGGATGTGCCAGTACCTTTGGACAGAATACATTTATTCACTTTCAGTTTATTTGAGGAAGGGCTGAGAGACCCATCTGAAACCCTGGAGAGCTGCTGGCAGTCAGTCTAGAATAATTTTGAATTAGATGAAGCAATTGCAGATAGATTTTACGTAAAGAGGTCCTGCTGAGTGGCTTTCTTAGTTCTGCATCAAAGCAAATTAAAAACACATTTGCACTGCTCTCTGCTAATTGCTGAATGCTCCATTTTATGTAGCATTCATATTTTTCATTCTGTAAAAATAGTGCCTCCTCTCATTGGACTTTGTCATTTGTATGTATTAGGAAAGAAGGTGGCATTTGGAGAAATAAGTATATGGCATAAGTGGAATTTACTTTCCTATACTAACAGTCCTGTAAATCTTCTTTGAGTGTTTTATTTGTGGTCATTTGTTCAGCCTCCTTCAATGTTACATTTTTATATATTTGTTTTCTTCAGATAAAGGGCCAGTTACCAGTCTTCTGCCTTCTCAGGTGAATCATTCACCAGTTATCAACCATCTTCTCTTAGGAAGGAAGATCAAACCAGCTAACAGATCAGCCAAAAATGCTATTCATATTCCAAGTCATGCAGCAGGCAAGATGTCACCTGGCCCTCATGAAGATCTTAAAACAAAGCTCAACTCTCCCTGGCGCACTCACATTAGGGTTCACCGGAAGAACATAGCAAGAGCCAGAGGTCAACTGGGTTATGGCGATACTATAGGGCTAATAGAGGAACAGAGTGAAGGTGGGAAAACAAATAACCCCAGTGCAAAAGAAGAGATACCAAACAAATCTAAATATGAGGAAAGAGAAGGGAGTGATTCAGATCCTAGTACTGCCAGGAAAGCTGATGGACAGTCTCCTGAACCAGATTACAAAGATACCAATGCTAGTGGCAACATATCTGCAGTTCAGCTGAAGCTGGAAGGACTGGAACTGACCCAAACTAACAAAGATGATACTGAAGCTGTATCAGGTCTGTACTGTCAAACACGAACCTCTGAGCTGCCAAGTTTGCCCAGTGACAGTGCAACAATAGTAAAATCTCCCCAAGCCAGCATTCCTAAGTCACAAGTCTTCAGTCCTTTTCCTAGCGTCAAGCCCCTCAGAAAATCCACTGCAGCTAGAAATCTAGGATTGTATGGCCCAACAGAACGAACCCCAACTGTACACTTTCCGCAAATGAGTAGGAGCTTTAACAAGCCCACAAATGGTAACAGTGGGTCTAAAAAACGATGATGTCTATACTACAGCACTTCGTTGTTGTTGCTAGGTTTTATTATGTGTGTTTATGGGTCCAAATGAGTTTCTAAATTTCATTATTTAAATGAAAAAATGAGATAAGTGGCAACATATATTAATTGTAATATCACAGATCTGTGTTTTTCTATAATGTGGAATAGTGAAAATATATGGTGGCAATCAGTTTCATGTTAAAAAATAAAAAAGACACGCAGCATGGGAAATGTTTTCCATTTCTTAAGTAGTTCCTTTAGGAGAAGCTGTAATAAGCTTCTTTCTTTCCTCTTGTCAGTCAGTTACTATAGTTACTTATAGGACAAGTTTACTTCATTTTTATTCACCATACAAGCATTTTTGCACAATTCTCATCTTTCATGTCTTGCTGGTTAGTTAGTAGAGACTTTAGCTGGACATTTCAGGCAGATTTAGAAATACTGAAAAAACAAACACACCATTTGTATTTATTTATTTGAGCAACTTACCAATTAGCAGTATTCTAATGTTTCCACAGCAATGCCACTGCTATTTCTGTTAACTATTTTTGATATAATGATCTTTATCAGGTAAAGAGTAGTGGATGTATTTTCTATTTCTTAATCTTGATTGACTAAATAATCTCCAGCAAGTAATGAGGCTGTAGAAGGAGTTACAGACATGTGGTAATTAACTTATCATTACGGTTCTTTACTGATAAGAGAATTCTACAAGTCTTGCAACACAATCCTGTACATGTCTACCCAGAAGTAAGTCTTCTTAAGTTCACTGTGGCTTACTTCCATGTAAGTGAATATAGTATTGGAGCCTTAGCCCCCCATTTTTTTTTTTTTTTTTTTTGGTGGGGTTGAGGAGAAGCAAGTCACTGTTAACTGATTGGCAGTCTTTCTCCTGAATAAAATACAGTATATTTTATTTCTAATATTCCCAAATTAAGGAAGATTCATATCTACAGTCTGATAATAAAATATTACTACCAATGTACCTTTTAACATTTTGGGCAATGAAAATTATTTTTAGTATCAGATCTTGTTCTTCTCTATATCTTTATCTCATCTCTTGGCTAACACAGTTGAAGAGATTAGTTCTGGTTTTTACTTGGTATAGGGTTGTGTAAAAATTTGTTAAAATTTCAAAACTTGCTAAGCATGAATTTTGCCTTCTTTATTTCCATTTTAGAAGGAAAAAAAGGGGACCAAAATGTGTGTAATCTTTTTACCAGGCAAAAGCATTGGCAGCTCTTACTAAAACCCCTTGCGAGACTATAGTGTTTCAGTAACCAAGATTAATGGATGACAGGGTCCAGAACTGATTTCATTGATAATTGGTAAAAGTTGTCACTCTTTGAAGCAGTTTTACATTGGTAAAATAAGAATAGGTGTAGGCCTGAGAAGACATTTGCAAAGACGCATGTGAAGAGTGTATGTACAATGCAGGCTAAGTGCAAAACAAGTAAAAATTGTGCCATGCTAAAGCTGTTCTATTATAGCAAATAGGAGTCAGAAGATATAAGAGAATCTCTCTGTTTTCTCAAACAGGTATGAGCTTAGATAAAGGAAGAAAATTACAATGAGTCATACCTTCCCTACTTCTGCCCCCATCCTTCTCCTGACCTTTATTTGTATTTTTCTTTCTGTTATGGAAGACCTTGTATGTCTGTCTATTTATTATCTTTTTATACCACCCAATAGCTGAAGTTCACAACAATTTGAAACATAAGATACAGTATAAAATTTAAATGGTTAAAGTTAAGAATTAGAAGAAGACAGTACAAAGATTTACAATGGCATACAGGATTTAAAACAGACTGAAACAAATGTTCCTGGGGAAATTCATGGGATAATAAGGTCTTTATTGGGTGTCAGAAAGAATGCATTGCAGCCTTCCTGGGGAACTCATTCCGCACGTTGCCACAACAAAAAGGGCCCTCTTCTTAGTAGTTACTCAACTTCCTGTGGCAGGGTCTCTTGAGACAATTCTTGAGGTAACCTGGCCCCAAGCTGTTTAGGGCTTTGAATGTTAATACCAGCACTTCAATTTGGGCCCTGGACATGGGCTGGTACCCAGTAGCATACTGGCCTAATATGATCATACAGGACAGTTCATATTAATAATCTTGCTGTTTTGTTGTGGACCCACTGAAGTTTCTGAACCATTTTCAAAGGCAACCCTTCATATAAAGCATTGCAATAATCCAATGAAAAACTTTCAGAGCATGGATATATATAGCTAGCTGCTACTATCCAGATAAGGCGGTAGTTGGTACATGATAAGTTGACAGAAGGTGCTTAGTACCACCAACTCATCTGTGCCTCCTGGAGCCAAGAGCACCTCCAAATTACGTAATACTTGGCATGAATCTCAAACTGAGAAGTATTTCATTGCACAGTCTCCAGCTATTTCAGGAAGTATTGTGAACCATGGCTTTACAGCTAAGCAACAGAGACTCCCAGACTGTTAAAATAAACAGGATTGCAAATACATAACTCGTATTTAAGTGACCAGATATGTATAGCTAAAGTAATAAAATAGCAGTAAAATAAATATGCTGACCAGGATCTAAATGTGCACCTAATGAATTATGTTCCCTGAACAGTGGTCCAGGCACTGCACAGGAAACTATTTCTGAAACTGAGAAAGGCCCCAAAGCAGTATGGTACCAGGGTCTTCTTTTCTGAAAAAGGAAGATCAAAAACTCCATGCTTCATGGGCTTGTCTAATGCAGTTATTTAAATCTGAACTACTGATTCCAATAATTAGTAGAGCGTACATAAAACACTATTTTCTGTTCTTGTGCATGCGCGTCACTCTCTCTCATCATTGAATACCTAAAGTATATGGAACCAAACCTCATTCCTGTTTTTATTTTAAATATCTCCTGCCCCAGAAGCACACATAAGACATTATTGGGTTCTACACCTTGTGAATTTTTCGAAGCTTATCTTTTTCTCAAAATATTTCTGCAGCAATTATGTTCCTGTCTTAATGGAGTAATAACAGGAGCTAACTAAAAGACAGTAAATGAAAGTACTCTCCTAAGACGATCAACAAACACTTCTCCCATCAGAAGATTTCCTTCAATGGGATGATGGAGGCAATTGTTTTGTCTCCAACATTCCATTGGAAAGCTTTGGAAGATTATTGAATTGGCTTTTGTGTTGAGAACAGCCCTACACATGCACTAGAAACAGTTCAGAGCTATGTTGGGCACTGAGCCAGGGCCTACATGGAATTTTGTATAGAGGACTCCACCAACAACGTGAATAGGAGTTGTCAGACTGGGCCTCATGTCTCTAAAGGTGTGATCCTGCGCATAGTTAGAAAAGACGCCTACAATTCACACCATTCCTGGTGTATGCTCATAGGACATTTTCTTGTCTTAACATGCAGAGGATTGCATCCTAGGTTGAATATGTTGTGTTAGGTAGGCCTGGGCTCACTACTTCTGCTATTTGGGTGATGTCGTATGAAACCAAAATAACTTACTATCTCTCCTCTTTCTCCTCATCTCTTGTCTGCTGTATTTTCAAATACTCTGTTGTTAAATTCTGTCTGGCAGGTTTCTTTGATGTGTACAATGTACTGTAGATACTATTGTACTTTATAAATATACCTAGGATGTGTGAAATAATGTCTTGTAGCAGCTTCATCTGCTTATGTGTCTGAGTCTATTGAGTATAGTTGCCTTGCTGAATTTTGTATATTAAATAGGACTTTATCAATAATGAAAACTGTAAAATAAAATTATTGTCTTCTTTCCAATTTCTTATAATAAGGCAGGATCCCCAAACCCAAACACTTCTAACTGAACAGCAATATAATAAAACGCATAGCCTACAAGCATCCTTTCTGCATAATTAGGGTGACTGGCACATGAAGGCATGTGATTTCTTGCACATGTGCAACTTTCATCTTTGGACCAGATTGCCTTTTTAGTATATGAAATATGCAATATGTTATGATGCTGCAAAAAACTCTAATTACTATGCCTGAAATAAAAGCAGTTCCTGTGTAATATTCTTAACACTATGAAGTGGTTTTTGAAATTATTTCCATAGGCAGATAATTATGAGAATACTTACCCAAATGGCTCATCTGGGCAGTTTGCTCAGAGACAATCTGGTAAACCAGTTTTTCCCAATCTGGTGCTCGCCAGATGTTTGGGGTTACAGTGCTAGTGATACAAGAAAACAAAATGAGTCAGCTAATATTTGAATAATAATTTCAACATCATAATGAACAATGATTTCAGAATTATAAGAGAGGGGTTTTTTTTAGCCAATATTGGAGTGCACCTTCAGTTGTGTTGATGAAGGCACGGTCAGTACAGCAATGTAATGTAGTTTTATGTGACAATACATAATTGTTGGAAGTACTTCCAATTAATCAATGTTTTCTTTGTTTTATGCTTCATGTATTTCCCAATAGCAGGAACGATGGTACCACTAGGCACCATATGCCTGTTGTATGTTTGCAAGCCATTGAATGCCCTTTAACTGCTCCCATGTGAGTACCTGAAGCACAGTTCATGTAGCGTGATTCTGGAAGTGCAAGATTTCCCTCACCATTTGTTTTCCATATTTTCACTCCACTGTGTGCCCATATACAAGTTAACCTTCTCTTTTATGTCACTTTCAAGCTCTGCTTTTAAAAATATCTTGTCACACTGTTTTGTGCACTTGTGTGATACCAGAAAAGTACAAGTAGCACACAGAATTGCACCACCCAAGCAAGGTAGATCATTAAAAAATCAACCATAGGTGATAGTTGTCATGAGCCAGTATCTAACTTCTTCCCCTTTCCCCTTTCCAGCAGATCATGACAAGAGGCTTCTTTCTACAATCTGATTATGTTAAAGCTGGCTAACTAGGACTGGTTTTGTGATAAATAGTAATCTAAAGGTGCATTGAGTTTAAACCCTTTAACCATGGAGTTAGTTCTTGCTCATACAAAGGCTTGATTCCAAACTGAATTTCGCTCTTCCCTTTCCCACAAAAAGGAATTGGGTCCACCCTCAGGGAAGTTTGTACTGCATATGGGCCAGCTTGCAGGAACACAAAATGTTACTTAGTTGGACCAGTCATTTGACTGGATGATGGATCCCCGCTCCCCGCAACCATTCCTGTTCCAACCAGAGGAGCCCTGGTTCTCACCAGCCACTTGGCTAATCTTGAAACTCATTAACCTTGGCATTTCAGCTAAGCATGCCCACACACTCTGTAC